GGTGCTCAAGCACCCATCGCACCCCCCTCTGCACGTGCCTGCTGTGATGTTCTCCACTGAATTAATGGAGTGCAGCTCCATGTTTAATTATGCATAATATGTGAAGTCACTGAACATCTACAGCACAAAATCACTTTCAGATTGAAATGAGTCGGATAACATTCTTCATTATCACTTATCTTATTGTGAACCGACGGGTTCTCCATATCCAGGTTAATGGACGTACAGCTTTGCCTAGTAGGTCTTTGTAGGCCTGGTTAAACTGCCGGTTCATGGCTGCGTACAACAAAGGGTTAATGCAACTATTTAACCAAGTGAGGTTTGCACAAAACATATGAATGACCTGTGGCGCACGGTTCGCCTTATCAGCGACATTCAGCAGCAGAAATGGCGCAAAACAGCCAACAAAACACAAGAAAACTGTAAAGCACATTCGAGTTACACGCTTAAATTCACTGTCCTCTCCTGAGTTGGCAGCTGGAGTGGTCTGGATTGTTACCGGAGTTGGTTTAGAAGATGTTTCTGTGTCTTTTGAGGCATCTTGAATTGAGTTTTTTGGTTCTTTTGTGCTTGTGTGGCCCTCAGATTTCTCCAGTGCTTTGTTCTTATTCTGCTCCGCTCCTGTCTCATCATGACTGATCTCACAGCTTTGAGTTGTTGAAGCTCCAGCACTGATCCCGCTGTCATCCGTCGTTGTTTCGGCTTTAGCCCTCTTGCGTTCTGATGAGCGACGACTGGGCCTGTACTTCAGAAAAGCCTTAGAGGCTACACGCACCTTACGGTAGATCAGAAAGTAGAAAAGGCCCACACAACCCAGGCCCAAGAAGAAGTACAGGAAGAGCAGCACGGTGGTGTAAGGCCGCCCTTTAGTCCGGTGAAAACTGCAGGTGCACACTTGTGGGGCAAACACGTAGACGGGCCAAAGTGGGGCGAAACTGGCTACACCCAGTAGCCAGGATGAGATGAGGAGCACCGCCACTCCACGGTGGGACAGGAGCAGACTGGCACAGTGAGAAGTGCGATGCGCAACAACCAAATAACGGCTCAAAGCGATGAGGCATAATGTAATAATGGACACGCTGTTGGACAGGAACAGGAGGAATCCAAACATACAGCACCACGTGGCTCCACCTCTCCAGTGCAGGTGCAGGTATGAATCAACACTGACCGGTTGGAGGATCGTGCAGTAAAGAAGGTCAGCGAGGGCAAGGTTTACTATGAGA